TGTCCTATTTCTTTATGCCATGAGCAGGGCAGGCCAGTTTCCAAGGGATGTGAAATGCAGGTTGTCATGCTTTGGGACTAATAGCCCTGTGCTAAACAGACATAAGCCTACGTTAGACTCTTATTAGATGCTATTTATGCCACTATGAGATATGTACTTCTCTCTTCCTCAGGTGAACTTGTGTTTTGACCAGTTTGTGTACAAGCTGGCGGATCAGATCTTTGCCTATTACAAAGCCATGGCCGGCAGGTAGGAGAATCCCATTATCGCTGATTATTAATCCTTCAGCTTCATGTTGGATATGTTTGGGTACGAATGCAAGGTGCATAGGGGCTGGGGAGCATCCTCAGGGTTCAAGGATGAAAGGAGGCAAGATTCAGGATGGATTACAATACTCAAAAGGATTGAGAGGGGAGAAAAAGAGCTCATCAGACAAATGTGCTGACGATATTTTCCCTTTTCAGTGTCTTATTGGATAAGCGCTTCCGGGCAGAGTGTAAGAATTACGGCGTGATTATTCCTTACCCGCCATCCAACCGCTACGAGACGTTGCTCAAACAGAGACACGTCCAGGTACGATGCACACAGCCAGCCCAGACATTTGCAATGGTCCCTTGGTCTCTGGATTGAACCAGGCCCTGTTCTGAGCTGAACATGTCAGCACTTAGCTCCCATTATATTGCTGGGTACCATCAAGATGGGTAACAATAGGTTTCTTACCAGGAAGAAGTCAACAGGCATCTGAATCAAAACCCTCATACTGCCATGGTGCATTTGGTGGCTAAGGGAAGGGTGTTTGCAATCCAGATTCACAAACTCCTTTTACACAGAGGTAGCCCAAACAGTGGAGTCTGGATCCAGATCCCAACCTTCTCCATGCTCATTCTGGGGCTCAAGTCTGGGTTCATTTTAGAAGCCTTTTCCCACCCGCTGGATGTATCTTCTCCTGGTTTCCAACATCTAAAGTATCTTCTCCTGTTTCCCACAGCTGCTAGGGAGGTCAATTGACCTGAACAGGCTTATTACCCAGCGCATCTCAGCTGCCATGTACAAGTCGTTAGACCAGGCTATCAGCCGCTTTGAGAGTGAGGACCTGACATCCATCGTGGTAAGACCCTGAGTGTCTGGGAGGGCCGTAGGACCACTGCCGGCGTACATAGTCCCCTGTGGCATGGCAGTCACACAACAGTGCTGTCCTGTTCCTCTGCATCTCCTCTGCTGTAGTATCTGCCTAATTGTAGGTATTTGTACAGTAATGGGAGCCCTACAGTCTGGCCCATTCACACATCGGTGGCTGCGTTATCCATTAGCCGGTGAATACAATATATAAACTGCGGTGTGGCTGTTAGCAGGGCTTTTTGTGGAGCTCAAACAGTACAGACTTGTGACCTGGGAGAAGAAAGTCCTGAGTTTTATCCCTTCTGAGATGATGACTGCAGCAGTTTTGTGTATCGGGCTCGATGCCATGCACACAGGAGCATCAGAGTCAAGCAGTGTAAAATTAAAGTTTCCACCTTGCAAGGATCCTGACAGGAGAGCCAGAACGGGCTCGGCGGGGAACAAATTAGTTTCACCACCCACGGGGGCCCCTTGAGTGAAAGTGCAAGTGATCTTGGCCTTTGAGTTAAATGGATGCCTTTTGCATGCGTCACACTGGGAAGACTGTGTGTGTGTGTGTGTGTGTGTGTGTGTGTGTGTGTGTGTGTCACACTGGGAAGACTGTGTGTGTGTGTGTGTGTGTGTGTGTGTGTGTGTGTGTGTGTGTGTGTGTGTGTGTGTGTGTAAAAAATTCAATCCCTCCCTTGCTGATCGAATGAGACTTTTCTGTGTCCATCCCTATCACACATTCAAGTCTTCTGCCCTTCCTGCTTTGCCCGGGGCAGGAACTGGAGTGGCTTTTGGAGATCAATCGCCTGACCCACCGGCTGCTATGCAAACACATGACTTTGGACAGCTTCGACGCCATGTTTCGGGAGGCCAATCACAATGTCTCCGCGCCATACGGACGCATCACCCTGCACGTCTTCTGGGAGCTGAACTTTGACTTCCTGCCCAACTATTGCTACAACGGATCCACCAACAGGTAAGAGGACACAACCTCCGAGGATGCCCCCGGAAGCCCTAGCCCTAAACCAGGCTTCGCTCAGAGATACCCATTCCACTTTGGCTCCCGCATGCCCCACGGCAGGAGTGTTTTCATGCCATGCTTTGCAGCATTGCATCTCTTGGATGGATTAACACCCGTTTTCGCTGCACTCACCCTGGAAAGAGCCCCCTGAGGTTTGCACGTCGCACGACCGAAATGCGGTTTACTAGCACCATTTTATCCCACCCCGCAGGTTTGTACGGACAGCAATACCCTTCACCCAGGAGCCGCAGCGGGACAAGCCAGCCAACGTCCAGCCCTATTACCTCTACGGATCAAAGGTCAGTAAAGAACTGCATCAGCCATCAAAAGTCAAGGGAAGGACTTTATTAGGCAGAGAGCAATGAGGACGCGGAGACTGTTGACCGGGAGGGAAATAGCAGGCATGGTTCATAAAATGAACAGCAGAAACAAACATAGGAGATGGCGTTGGTTTGCTGAGGCAGAAAAGCCGTGCAAAGGAGAAGGAGCATGGGATTTGTTGCATCTCCACTTCCCCCTCCTCTGTGCATGACTGGCAGGGTGCAAGCAAGCCCACCGCGCTGCGACCAAGACCCTGAACCAGCACTGCAGGCAGCCATACGCCGAGGTGGCCATAAAGCACAGCAGCAAGAGGCTGCTCCCTACCCGCAGCGAGGGGACAGCTTTGTGCCCAGAGCCCCCAAAGGCCAGAGGCTGCCAGTTGAGGGTGCAGACAGGCGTGCAATGGTTGCTGGAGGGAAACACGCAACGCATGTAATGTAGACAGTGGAGGGGTCAAGTCTGCGGAGGACGAGGGAGCTCAGGGCATGGGGGACCTGCTCCTCGCGGTGCAAGTTCTGGCGCGAGTTGCCTGCAAAGATGCTGTTCCCATGACGTGGGAATAGCTCTCTGGGCAGGGGATGTTTGTGGACCGAGAGACAGTCGCACTTGTGTAAGAGATGTTGTGGACCTCCACGTTCATTGCTGAAACGAGAAGCAAGGAAAGGCTTCGTGTACCGATACAGCAAAACCCAGGGGCGTCAGTCACACACTTTCCACCGGCGTGGTAGGGGCTGGCTTGAGATCAGGTCCAGAGAGGCTTCAGAAATAACAGCAGTGAGCAATATCCAAAGCCCGCTGCAAAGCAGGGAAACAATTTTGTGGAAAAAAAAAGTTTTTAAACCCCAAGATTTGTCATCCTAATTTTGGGGAGGAGAAAAGAAAAATTTTGAAGGGGGGGAAAAAACGGTTCACAAAAAGTTTTTAAAATGTTCCTCAAAATTAGAAAGCAATGCAATAATGTTCTCCCAGCTCAAATCCTATCCTCAGAGCTCCTCGGCTTGTTGGCAATGGTTATTTCTGTTTGGCTTGTTACCATTATAACCTCCCAGAGCCACGGGTGTCAGAAGAGGGTGGATATATTCAGCATCGAGCCCGTAATACTCTCATTTCTGTTTTGGACACTTGCAAAGCCCCCAGTGCTGCTTCACCAGCACAACCACAGTCTTTAATGTAGTCATCCTCCAACACCCCTAGGCTTTTCATTTAAAGGACCATTTAGCTCGGTTGGTTTGAGCATGTTCTAATCCCACCAAGGTCAATGTGTGATCCTTGGTTGGACTACATGATCTCTTGAGCCTTACTTCTCTACGATCCCATCTCAACAAGGAAGTGACAGGTCTGACATAGCAAACAGGAAGGGGTCATACTGATTGCTTAGTTCCTATTTAGCCAAGGGCTCCTTTGCACCGGTTTCCTAGGTAGAAACTTTGCAAAGAGTGCGAATAACAAAACTCTTAGACTGATGAAGAGTTCAGCCCAAGACCATGTCTGGTTCGCGCTCCTCATAACTCTGTTCATTTTAAATCACGGCGCCGTAGCACGCACCGCGAACGCGCCTAACAATTCTGACATTTGCCTAAGCTGTGGCTGCCTTTTTAGCTGCTAATTTACAGCGTTCGGAAGCACGACGTCTTCCTATGTGTTTGCACAAGACCTTGATCTTGCGTGGATGCTAGTGGGCTGCAAATTTTAAAACAACGTTAAATAAAATAACAGTGGAGCGCGGCTGGTTCTTCCTCGGGATACAGACCCTGAGCACTGGGCTCATTAGAGAGGTGGAGCAGGGGCAGCTTCAGCCTGGAGCTGTTTGGATCAGACCGGTGCTAGGCTGCCTCCTGGCTTCGCCGTGGGATCTCTCCCTACAGATCTTCCTGCAAGGCAGAAGCTTGCAGGTCTGTTCTCCCCGCCACAGGCAATCTTGAATAATTAAAAGCCACCTAGTTGCATTTTCTCTCTGTCTTCTTCCCTCTTTTCCAAGTTGTTTTTAATTAAAGCAGCAGCTCATCTCCACCGGTGCCTGATCTCCCACATTCCTCCACGAACAGCAGCCCACATGCGCACTGACCTCGGGATGGACGTCATTATTAAGAAGCCATTTACATTTGCTTGCACTTGTCTTAAGAAATGGTCGATTAACGTTCAGTCATTCAGCATGAATCCGAGTTAGCCGCACCGGCCCCTTCTGTATCCGGCCAGAATCCCTGGCATCTCCTTTGGGTGCCTGCTGCTTAAATCCATCACCATCCACTGTCTTGTATTATACCCTCCGTTGATTATATCATCACTCGCCATAACAACCAATAGGAAACAGTAGTTTAGCATTTTTTAGCGATTCAGTAAATGCTACCCCTAAAAGCATAAAAGAAATGCCTGTCCCCGAGGCTGGTCTGTGGTTTGACTTGGATTCTGGAGAACCGGGAGAGAGGGAGCGCAGAGTTTGAGTGTAGGTTAGAAAAACACTTGCCTGGGATGGTTTAGATGGGGATGACCCTAAAGTAGAGTCAGGGAAGGGGCTTTTCATCAGGTATAAACACGTTGCGCTCTTCCAGGGGCGTGAGAAAAGCCAGGGGGAAAACTGCCATTACTCTCTTATGTCTACAACCATGGGAAGGTGCCTGTCCCCCCCACTCCCAACCTGCCCACATTCCCAGCCTCCCGGCCTGATTCAGGAACCAGGCTCCCAAACCAAAGGCTTTCGACAGATATCCACAGCCGTGCCCTAAAGGCAGGGAGAGGCAACAGCTGAGGCTTGGGACAGTCCCGACACATGCCAGAGTGCTAGATTTAGCACCAAAAAAGGGAGCAGACTGCTATCGACTTGAGCCCTGGAGGTGGCCGGATGGTGATGGGGAGAAGGGGATGCTTCGTAGCCAGCTTGCCTGTTCAGCTGTTTCATCTTTAAAGATGCTGGTGTCATGTCTACCGCCTACAGTCTCTAACCCAAGCTGTGCATTTCACCCATAGTTGGAGCTGCACTTTCCTTGCTCGGAGACGTGGGATTAGTATTAGTTTCCTCCTTTTGTGGAATATGTTAAGCTCAGAGAAACGTGCATCTTAATCAGATATCTCTTTCATTAGACCAACTAAATAGTTGCAAAAAAAGGTTGCAACTATTTCATTGGTCTAATAAAAGATATCGCCTCTGCCCAAAGAGTTTGTCTGTCTTTGCACTTAGACCAACACAGCTACAGCCGGATCCCTAAAATATTAACACACCTAGTTGTTTCACTGAAATCTGTGGGTGTCTCCCATGGGTTCTGGGTCAGTCTCTCAGGGCTGGGTGCATTTAGGCACCACGTGGACATTTTCCAAAGCACCTGACACCTATGGAGAAGGAAAGCAATCCAAATGTGCAGGAGAAATGCATTTACATCTCGGCTGCTGCCAGCCCATGTGTCCTGCGTGCTTGAGATGGCTCTCAGTTTGCCAGTACGGCATGTACTTCCCTCCCCTATGATGTGCCCCATTACTGGGGCAAAAGGGCATCTCCTTCACACCCTCCTGGCCCACAAAGGTCTTCTCCTGTGGAGTGCATGATGTGAAATGCTGCTCGTGGCATGAGCGAGTCACAGGCTGGGTAAGGTGCAATTTGTCATTGAGATGCAATGCATTGCATTTTAACCAGAGATCTTTCGGCACATGCAAGGTTGAGGTGGTGGTTGCATCTCCCTTGGGGGGGTTGGGGGGGTGTAACATGCCAGGTGATTTTTTCAGGGATGCATTTGGGGATGCTTGCTAATTCATGCAGCAATTACTCTAATTAAGAGGAAGAAAGGGGCACCGATAGCTACTGAGCACGAGAGAGGAGGGCACAGCTTCTGAATCGGATCTTTCTGGACCTCAAATGCTGGAGGCTGCAAAGGAGAGAGGAACAGGAGAAAAATCCAGTTCATGCTCCCTTTCAGCCTCTGTGTGACAGGAGACAGGGCGAGATGGACCTACCCTCTGACCCAGTACATGCAATCCTTGTGTTCTTACGAGCTGGGGGAGGAGATGGGGCACGCGGCTATTTCCTTTGGGGGGCTGGAGCCCTGATTGAACACTTCCATTTCAGAGCAAGACCCAAGCGCATGCTGCATTTAGCTGTCTTGGTTAAAACTGACTTGCCATCCTTGAATCAATTCCCCCCTCCTCTCCTTTCTGCTTGGTTCCTCCATGAACATTGCAGGAATAAAATGCTGCAGCGACCTATATGTTGCCCTGAGACCAAGTAAAAAGTCCTATGGAGTCAGGATCCAGGATGGACCTTGCAGTCCAATTATGAGCTGGTGACCCACCCAGAGGGCCAAAATCAGACCGTCGCGTCCCTGCACAAACATGCACGGACACGTAAGAAAGGCATTATGGAGACCCACATTGGGCCCATCAGGATCTCTTCCATGTCTCTTCCTACTGCTGTCAGCTTGTTGGCTGAGCAGCTGCTGCAGATCCAGCTGTGCTGAGCAACAGCTGTTTCAAGCAGGTGTCCAGAAGAGACTTCTCTCCCCCTGTTCGCTTAACACCATCCACTGTGTTATCTCTCCTCCTCCCCCCCCAGCCCCTGTTCTTACAATGCGTTTCATCCAACTTGTCATGTCCTATCCCATGCCCACAGTGGGCAACAACTCTCTTTGCTGCTTGTCTGTACAGCGCAAATCGGGGCTTGATACTTAAATGACATCCCTGGGTGCTACCCTGATAGGCAGGATCGATAAGAATAACTGGCTGGAACCAAGTGCGCGTGGGAGCCCTGTCTGTAGGCTGAAATGGAGCAAGAGAGATAACACCAGCCATGGGGCCCCGAGGGGAAGGAGTGCTTCAGAGAAAGGCAGAGCAAAACAGGCTCCATGAGACAGGTGGTGAACACTCCCGCTTGAGGGAAGCTGTAGCAAAGGTAGTAAATATTTGCACGGTGGCAGTGCCAAGAGCTCTGCCCTTTTTATTCCAATAGGCAAGTGCAATTTAAAGGGCCCAAACCAACAGAAGCAACAGTTGTTGCTTATATGATGCCCAAGTGACAGCAGCGTTGGCACACGCGTATATGCCCCCCTCCTGGGTCTTCCAGAGAAGACACCAGACTGGCTCGTCTTGGACAGGTATCGGGGAGTGTTAGCAAGCAAAAAGGAGGCTGATAAAGAACAAAGTGTCCAAGCTCCAATCTAAACTGAGACCTCAACATTCATTGCCTGTCCCACGAAAGAGAAGCAAAGCGAAGCGTGTTCTCCTCATCTTCCTTTAAAGCATATAAGCACCAGTGGGGCACAAGATGCGGCTTTGGAAAGGATGGGGAGTAGTGTCCCTTAACCTGGTAACTGTCTTTGTGCCTCTCCCCTTCTAGCCTCTCAACATTGCCTACAGCCACATCTACAGCTCCTACCGCAACTTTGTGGGGCCGCCTCACTTCAAGACGATCTGCCGGCTCCTGGGTTATCAAGGGATCGCCGTCGTCATGGAGGAGTTGCTGAAGATTGTCAAGAGCCTGGTAATGATGACCCTGGACCAAGGGGCAGGAGGACCTCAGCCCTTAGGGGTGGCTTGGGATGGGGTGTCAGCCTTGAATTTGGGTGTTTTGCTTGGCTGGTCAAATGCAGGCGCCTAAATTTACCAAGATTTAGACACCCATTGGTGGAGCCTGGCTATCACAGGTGCTGAGGAATCCTATTCACTTCACAAGGAGGTTTTAGGGATCTTGGGCTTGGCCCTTGGCTGGCATGGCCCAGACAGTGCCACTTGCAGGGGATGGGACTGTACCAGGTGAGTGCCAAGCCCCGCTTCCTCACCTGCGAATGGTACTGCAGCACATGTCCATCCCCCAGGTGTCCAGCCTCAGTGAGGGTGCGCAGGAGCTAGTATAAGTCAACCCCATATTTCTGATCCAAAAAGTTAGGTCGACTTATGTACCAGATCTACAAAATTCCTAATTTTTGGATCAGAAAAATGGGATTGACATATATACCATGTCAGCCTATACACCATGAAATATGGTAGGCCAGATTTTTCAGAGGAAATATTCTCTCTGCTGCTTCAGCTGTCACTGAGACAGAGGAGAAATAGGAGCACTCAGCATAATATGTGTTTCAATCACGTTGTTCAACCACAAAAATAGACCCCTTTTTTTTGTTGGCGAGATTCTTTTGATGTGCCAGCAGTATTTCTTACAATTGTTTTAGTGTATTTTTGCCGTAATGTCATGGCATCATCTTGAGGTTTTCAAACAGGGAAGCACTAAACTGAGGGCATCAGGGTTGCCTGGAACAAGACATGAAGGAGTCTTCAGTGCCATTTTGAAGAAAGACTTTTAAAGCATCTGGAAATCCTGCTTGTGCAAACAGACACACAGTTGCAGTGCATGAAAGGGTAAAACACGTGGTGTGTACATATGCCCTTAGTGGAGAAAGCTCTAGCTGGTGTCTTCCGTTATGAGTAATCGGAGCAGAGATGAGGCTTGGGTCTGGGTAAACTGAGTCCTACTTTCAAACAGTCCCAAAAGCTAGGACCAAGCTTCGAAGTAGAATCTATATAAAACCATGAGTTCATTTCAGGATAAAGTCATAAAAGGCTCCAGGTTTGTTTGGTAAACTTGGGCTGAACTTTTTTTTTTTTCTTTTTTAAGTAATGAAGCCCACAACAGATGTTTGTGTGAGAGGAAGTTCCATAAATAAGGTTTCCTCTCATTCCATAATGAGGGTTTCCTGCCTTGTTTCCTGCGATTCCACAAAGTGTCTGTTTTCAAGTGCTTATTCAAGGTGTTCGCAAATAAATGACTCTAGCCATAAGTACAAGAGAGCACTTCCAGACTGGCTGGCACAGAATATATTGCAAACATTAAGTAAAACTATACATGCATTGGCATTAGCAGATTCAACAGGAAGTAACTTAATAGTCACTCATGCAGATTCAACACATTCACATCTCTTGCTATATCCACTTTTCAAATGAATGCATCATCTATAGAGACCCAACATCTCAAGGTAGTATCTCTCCTGTTTTCTCTGACAGTTACAAGGTACCATCCTGCAGTACGTGAAAACGTTGATAGAAGTGATGCCCAAGATATGCCGCTTGCCAAGACATGAATATGGATCTCCAGGTTAGTGGCAGGACTAACCAGGTGTGTGGCTGTCCAGGCTTTAATATGAAGAACAATAAATACTTGTATTATATTATAAAAGATCATGGATTTGATTCTTATGAAATCAAATGTGTAGCATTGTGAAGCTTATGCTGTAACATTTTTTTTTAAAGCCTGTCTGGTGCAACCTTGGCAGCCTTCTTGTAAATACTGGGAACGAGAACAAAATTGGCCTGCTGTGTAAAGTGTCTTACAACCTTAATTCAAGAGCTGTGACTGTAACTATAATGCCTCTTATTTAACTGGGCATCTAAGAGCCAGCATCAGAAAGTCCACTTCTGATCACAGAGCATGTGCAGAAAGAACCTGCAGTGAGAAAGTGTTATTGAAAGTATCTGCCTGGGAACACAAGTTGCTGATATGGAACTCATTATATGATAGACAGATAGATAGATAGATATTCACTATACTATTGAGAGAGAGAGATATCCATAGATATTCGCTGTATATATGTATATATGTAGATAGATAGATTGATAGATATTCACTATATATATGTATATATGTAATTAGATTGATAGGTTGATAGATAGGTATTTGCTATATATATGTATACATGCAGATAGACAGATATTCACTATATATATGTATATATGTAGCTAGATAAATTGATAGATAGATAGATAGGTATTCGCTATATATATGTATATATGTAGATAGAGATGTGTGTATATAGTACATTTTTATATATATAGATGTATGTATATGTGTGTGTATATATATATGTATGTATGTATATGTGTATACACACACACACACACGTTTTGCTTTGAAGATCTTTTTAACTTTATTTCTGTGGAGTTGTTACAGATATATAAAAGCAGCACTTATTCCAAGATTAAATGTAAAAAGTCCCTTTTCCTACCCCCTGTTTCCAGGCCTGTATAACTCCTTTGACTTGAGGCGAGTAAGTGCTTATTTACAGAGATGTACATGAGAGGAGAATAAGGCTCCCTGGGTGGAGACTTCTCTAAAATCCTGCTGGTAGAAGATGGTTTTTATTTTTTAATACTCGGCAGTCTGGGATCACAGGGAGCCACCAAGAAAACAGTTCGACCCTGAGCAGGCTGTTGGCTAGTCTGGATGTGCTGTTTGTTCTTCCTTTCCTCACTGAGTCTCCTTGTGTCTCCTTAGGTATCTTGGAGTTCTTCCATCACCAGCTGAAGGACATCATTGAGTACGCAGAGCTGAAGACCGATGTCTTCCAAAGCCTTAGGGAAGTGGGCAACGCTATTCTGTTCTGTCTTCTCATTGAGCAGGCCCTGGTAAGGCCAACTCTCCTGTTGTAAAGGTTACACTCTACCATTGCTACTGTACTAACTGTCTAATGGGGCTCTTTCATTGGGAGCCAACTAAAACAAATAGGGAACAGGAAACAACCTGGGTTGGTGACAGTAAGAACCAATGCAGCTGGCAAGGAGCCTAACATTGAACCTGAATTTTGGAGGACCTAGCCTCAAACGTAGGATCCACAGTAATCCCAGTGATGTTTAGACTCCTGGTCAGATCCAGCATCAGAAAGGGCCAGTTCCTGGGTCTGATTCTGGACTGGAGGATCTTCAGGAGATCTTTGTTATATGTGTGTGCAGCGCCCAAAACACTGGAGTCCTGATCCCTGAGTGGACCTGTGGCCCGACCACCCCACATATATTAAATCAGTATTAATGAAGCAGCTGGAGAGGGAGGGACTCACCCTAAAACAGCTGGTCTTGAGAGATTTCTTGGGCCCTGTCTTCGCTACAGAATTAACTTGAATGTTGCCTCTAAGTCAAAACCCATCCATGCACACTCCCCCTTATCTCCTATGAGGTGGTACTTTTAAACACGAGTTGGCTGGTCCATCAGAAGTGATGGCTTGAATTAGCCCAACATCCACCACCTGCAAATATGACCACGCCATGCAGCTCAAGTATTCCCTGGTCAGGAATTTTTCAACAAAGACCTTTCCATAGGGAAATGCCAGTTCATCGCAATAGGTCTGCAGGAGCTTATCAGTTTGGATAAGACTTTCAGTGAAAAGATTTACAAGATGCAGTAACTGGGAAAAGCCACCTCTATACCTGGGATTAGGGCCTGGTTCTAAGTCCACTGAAGTCAACTGAACTCCTACTAAGTTCAGTGTCTTTAACCCGACCCTGCTGACTACCTCTTCATGAGCATCAGGAATTCACACACACATTGTAAGTTGGTCTACAAGAATGTCCTTGTTTTATACAATGACAGAGCCACTGATTTATTAAGCTGGGCCTAATCACATGTTTAAGACATATGCTAGCAAAAGACAGCTGCCTTCCAGGCTCATTCATGACCAATCCCAAGGTATAGTGCTTTTCATGACATGCTGTTGTGGATGACAATATTTTATGATAACTTAGGCCATCTCTACAGCCTAAAAGAAACCCAGTCTTTTAGAGTTATAAATGTAAGGAGGTTCAGTCAGATTAGATCTGATTAGATGAACATCCCAGAATGCATTCTAATATTCTCCTAATGAAGGTCTAACACCATGGGAATAACTGATCTCATGGTTGTTCTGTGACAGCTGTTGGACTATTAGATTGCATTCTGCTGTTGGCTGGTAGAGAGTGCTCCAATTTCATGTTGGAAATACATTTCATTCCCTTTTTCTTTATTTTGTTACTTATGAGTGACTTTCTCAAAGGAATTCCTGCTGTAGGGGGTGACTAAGGGGCAATGTGTTACTTGTGACAAATGCTTGCTCAGGTAATGGGGAAATACAAGCTGCAGCTGGTGGAAACAGTTTCCCTTGCAGATGGATGTAGCCATGATAGAATCTCTTTTCTCCTAGAAAGATGGTTCTGCCACCATGGGAGTGTCTACACATGCATTTACTACGCAGTAAATTTACTGCACAGTATGTTACTACACAGTAAACAGATTTAGACTGGCATTTACACTTGCAGGCATTAAAGCTCAGTAACACTGTATTTGGACTGACTTGGGAGTAAAGTTAGTCCCAAGTCAGTCCACACGCACAATGTTACATTGCAGTTAAGCATCTACATGTGCAATACTGAGCAGTAACTAATCAGGCGTAAATTTGTTGGCATATGTCACCATAGTTACTACGCAATACAGACCTGCACATGTAGACATATGCTCATACTGCGCAGTAATTTTTGGTTACTGCACAGTAACGTAGGTTTATGTATAAATGTGCACGTGTAGACATGCCCCATGATATAACCAAGACAGCAAGCAGGCACCAAACTCCTTTCCCACCCACCTCTCACCATCCACGTGAGAAGCCACAGGGTCAGTACGTGACTCAGGACTCTGTTCCTTCCCCTCCACCACCAGCGCTGACTGTGCGCCAAGCTGTGTTCTCACAAACACCCCAGAGCTTTTCTGTACAAGTGCCCGTAGCTTCATTCCCACCCCCTGAATAGCCCACGCCACCAATGAAGACTAAGCTGTTCTCGGGATGGTGGGTTGCCCACTCATGCATCCCAATCAGAAAGATCCTCCTATACCATAAAGTAGCCCTGTTTGAGTCCCTCCATCCAGACCCGACCATTTCCACAGCTCAGCCCTGGGCCCTCCCCAGCACATCCGAGTCCTCAGGACAAGCCCAGACCTGAAAGCAAGTCCTGCCCAGAAGTCTGCAGAAACAAGCTCATGCTTCATGGTGTAGTGCCTCTGTTTGCAGCTCCAAATCACCTGGGTGTTCCCTGCTGCTGTATCCCATTGCAAGCTCATACACGATTTGCCATCAGCCATCCCTGTGAAGTCTCCTTCAGCTTCCCTGCTCCCAGCTTCTCCCTCTTGTGCCTCTGTGTCTGGGTTTGGTTCTCCCCAAGCTTCTGGCATGTGTTTTTTCATGTGGCAGTTCATGTCGTTATTCTGCTCTGGCCTTCTTTGTATTACTGCCCTGTGCTCCCCAGTTCACACAACATCTAGAGTCCGGTCTAGCTGGGGATGGTGCTGCTTGGAGCAGGGGCTTGGACTAGATGTGACCTCCTGAGGTCCCTGCCAGCCCTCATTTTCTATGATGCTATGGTCTGCAAGTATTGACTGCAATCCCTTATTGAAAACAACCTAATTTCAGACACATCTCTTATTGTAACAGCCCCAGGGATTGGTATATTTGTCAAGCCTTAGAGCCATTTAGTCGAGGAGCTCTTCCCTCTTTCCATCAAAAGTCTCTCTGGAGAAGTAAATGACAGGAAGCCATCACATTAGAATAAAATAATTCTTCATTCTTCTTTATCGGCTTCGGGTCTCGGTATTAGCAGAGGGGCAAGAAGACCACATCAAAGCTCTGGATTTGTATGGACAGGACGTTCTTTAACAGAGCTATCCAAAGCCATCTGGTTCAGGTTTAAAGGGCTTAGGGGAGGTATTTTTTTTTCCAGTTTCAGTTCACATGGGTTTAAATGACCGAACTGCAGTGGATCAGAACAAGCACCTGACAGGTGAATGTGGCCATGTGCTCTCACCAAGCCAGACGGTCAGTCCCGAATGGACATTTTTTTTTTAACCTATTTTATCTTTCTTCCTCCTGCCTCAGTCCCAGGAAGAAGTTTGTGATTTGCTGCATGCTGCTCCCTTCCAAAATATTTTGCCCAGGGTCTACATCAAAGGTAAGGAGACCATAGAGAAACAGTGGGCAGAGCTCACTGCTTAATCCCCTCCCCAGAAGGAGTGTATCTCCCATATTCTGGCTACAGATGGTTTCTTCCCATGTTTTTTTTCCCCTTCTGATGGAAATGTGGATCTGATGGAAATTCAGGCAGCAAATTAATGTTAACTAGGTTGCTTTATAGTCAGGGTTTTAAAGCCAGGTAACAAACATGCCTGCAGTCCTGGAGGATGATGGCATAAAAGCGGCCATGGCTCAATAATAGCTGCAGCTTTTGCAAAAGGCCCTTTCTCTGCAGAGCCGATGAGACTAGGAGCATCGGGACCATGACTGTACGGCTCTCACCCCGCTTGCATCCGGGGTCCTCTTCTCTGCCGTGACCCCCCCGGCCATTCCCAAGTCAGACTGAGGGAGGGGGTAGCTCGAAGCCAACCCTGCGGCAATGCCGGTTTTGCACTTCCTGGTCTCATCTCGTTGTTTGCTGCTCGCTTGACAGAAGGAGAACGCTTGGAGGTACGCATGAAGCGTCTCGAAGCCAAGTACGCCCCACTTCACCTGGTTCCCTTAATAGAGAGGCTGGGAACTCCTCAGGTAAGGCGCCCCTGGGAACCCGGGGGAGTTGGCTACTAAAAACTCACAGCAGGCCCCCAGCGGACCTGACAGGCCTCCAGAAAATGCTCCCCATCTTACTAGGGTATTTTTATTCAGGACTGTCATGTGAAGAACTTTCTTACAAGCAGGGTAATAAAACACTGGAACAGGATGCCCAGAGAGGTGGTGGCATCGCCATCCTTGGAGGTATTTAAGACCCAACTGGACAAAGCCTTGGCTGGGATGATGGAGTTGGGGCTGCTCCTGCTTGGAGCAGGGGGTTGGACTGGATGCGACCTTTTGAGGTCCCTTCAACCCTCCTTGTCTGTGAATCTCTGCATCTGCTGATCAGACAGAGCCATTTGAACCCATGCACGTAAGGGGCTGATGAGGGATTTAAAAGCTAGTCTGGAGATGGATTTTCCTTATTGAGCTGACATGGGAACAGGGAGGGAGCAGCTCATATGGACGACCGTGAACGTTGCTGCCTACGATCCTGCACATCTTAGCCGTGGGAAATTTCTTTGGGATGTGGTGGAAACACTGGGAGAGCTTGCTACTGACGTAGGTTCCCTGGGTTTCAGGCAGATGATGTCTATGTTACGCTGAAGGTGCTGGGCTCCTTTGAAGTCAGCAGCCAAAATTCAGCAGCGTCTGGATTTCACCCAGTACCTGTGGGAAGAAACGCTGTCTTCAAGTGGCTGATGGCACGAGATATATCAGAATTAGCATCCTCACGCAGGTTCATTCTGTACCTGGAGTGAACATTCATTAATATAAAGATGACAAATCTTTTCCCTAATTTTTATAATGCAACAAGGGCATTTTTTTAACTTTGTTTCACTGGGTTTACCGTGAAACAGCAAAACTCAAGAGTTTAGCAAAGGGCTCTGTTCTTATTTGGAGGTATTGTATCATCTCTCATTAGCTCCCTTTGAGAGGGACATTGCTGAGGAAAAACAAATCACCCCTGTGTTTTTGCGTGTTTGTCAGTGTATCTATCCATCCTTTCCTCCTTGCAAAATCACCCTTAAAAAGTATTGTTTAAAGTCTGCTTTATAACTACTGTGAGGATGATGGTGATTGAAAAATAAGGTATTTTATTTCCCCCCTAAAAAACTCCACTTCCTGTCCCATGTTCTTCATGTTTCTGGGCACACACATTTGGAGAATGCAGATATTCAGATGCAAACAAAAATCGCTGTTTATAAACCCATTCTGAGCCATTCCTGGAAATCTGGTCTTGGACAGAAGTGAAATTCCTTGTGACTAAAAAGCACAAGCACCCAAAAGCAGGTATCAAGAACCTTAGGAGCATGTTTTGGCCGGGCAGATTCGGAAGCCATTAATGAAAACTGGGCCTTATACATTTTGCATAATAAACCATGTGCTCTAAAGACTTGATCCAATGCTTATTGCAGTCAATGGGACGATTCGCCCTGATTTCAGTGGGTGTTGGATCAGACTCTGCTAGGTTTATGCATTAAAAAGAGGTGAAGCATGTGTCCGTCTAAACGAACTGGTGCATACTGCCAGGCTGTACATCGTTATCTATGTTTTTAATTAATATGTAGCTACTTGATGTGCAATTCAGGAAGAAGGGGGTGGATCAGAACGGTTTCTCAGTGACCTCCCCAGCAAGGATGAGGAAACTAAGGTTTAGTTCAGGGTGCTCAGGTGTGCTGTACATTAGTCTCATTCCCTCATCAGAGTCAGTGGGAGCTTTTTCAGGGCCTTCATGATGGGACACCTGGGTCTGGGCAGGTATTGCTGTAAGGCTACTGCCCTGCACATGCCTTGAGCATAGCAGGCAACCCCATGGAAATAATAGTCTTCTAGCAAGGCCACCTCCGGAGGAACTTTCTGACTGTGAGGGTGTTTAAGCATGGAAACAGGCGGCCTAGAGAAGTTGTAGACTCTCCATCCCTAGGTATTTCCAAGAGGAATCTCCATCCCTGGGTATTTTCAAGAGACAGACCCTTGGCTGGGATGGGATGGTTGAGTCAGGGACGATCCTGCCTTGAGCTGGGGGCTGGGCTAGGTGATCCCATCCAGCCCAACTTTCCTGTGATCCTCTGACTCTATCCCTATGATTAAAATGATGGGACTCTCTTATTCCTGAAACCAGTATGTGTCATACCAGGTTAGCAGAGCAAGCAGTATTAATCAATACAGAAGAAATTCCTCTTAAGCTGCTGAGAAGACACTGAAGTAGGGATGTTTTCTGTGCCCACAAACAAACTGAATGGGCCCATATGGGTTGACCCATTCAGTATTTTGCCTTGATTTTTAAGCACAGCTGTTAGGTCACAAGCAGGTCATAGAGGGGAGCTGACTACATCTCTGGGGGATAATAGCAGGAAGTCTCCCCGCTTCCTCCCCGGGGGTCTTTAAGACCTCAGTCATCTGAGCACTGGCCAAGTGACATGGTCATGTCAACTGTAAACTCATTCCTAAATTGAACAGACCCAGAGACTCCAGAGCTGCAAAACCTGTCCTCTGGAGCACAGCTTGGCTTTCCCTGCCTACCTCATTAATTGCTCTGGCGCTTTGCCACGGGGCGGATGTCCTTGTTGGTGCGGTGCAGGTCGCAAGGGTAGATCAACCCATTTCAATATTTGCTAACCAAGCAGCACTCTTTGGCTGCTGCCTCCACAAGCCGACAGGAACAGGACTGCCTTTTTAAATGTTGGGGAGCTTGCAAATCCCGGGATCCTCTCCCTCTCCCGCTAGTGGAGACCGGTGGTTTGTAACTAGATCGTCTACCTTCAGATTCGTCTCTGCAAATCGCTAAAATACCACAGATCTGGGCAGTCAGTTGAACAAAAGCAGCCCTGTCACCAGATCCCTACAAGTAGATGCTGATTAAGACACCCACCCTTTATTAGGTCATTCGAGCGCACATACTCATTGCCGCCGTCTCCCCACGTCACACACCTGCCCATTGCATCAGGCATTGCTCTTCCCAGGACGCCCGCATTGATTGCAGTCGAGCAGAAACCTCGTTATAGAAGCAACGGGGGTCATTGAAACATAGCGATCATTTCAAGCCTGCCCTCTGGGAAATGCTCGAGCTGAGGAATGCCCCCTTTGCTCTGCATGTTGAACAGAGGATGTGCTATGAGGCTGTGTCGACATCCTTGCTGGGCACTTGGTAGTCACAAAGCTTGGCTTTTTTGTGCCTTATTTGGCTGGGCAAAATGTGGCTACGAGGTGGGTGGGGGAAGAGGGGTGAAGAGGGAGTTGTCGTGAGGCCACGTCCTGCTTTCAGTTATGCCGATGTAAATCCAAACTGGCTGCACCGTGACCTTGTTGGTGCCCGTGGAGTCGTTCCCGATGTGCAAGTGTGCATCTGAGCGTGGACGTTGCAAAAATGCATCCCCCGCTCCCGAATGAAACGCCAGAGCCTGGTTCCCTTGAGTTTCACATCAGACGCAAATGGCTCCAGTGTTAAGTTTCTGGTGGCCTCAGAGCTTGATCAAAACTGCTTTACCCCAGCTAGAGAGAAGCCCAGGCCCCTACAACACCCCAGCTTTGCAAAGAGATCGTAACGAGGCTGTGAAAACCCAAGTTTCCCCAATCGCCTGCCTGTTTTCAAAGACTGCAAAATATCCCGTAAGCCAGATTGTCAAGGCTGAGCCTGCCCGATTGTCTGTGTACGTTTGTGCGTGTCTGTTATGCAAGTACCGGTGTCTGGCGCGAGGATGCAAGCTAGGCCCCGTGCATTACAGTGATGCTTTAGCGTTCGTGCTCTGTGACGAGCGGGGACCCAGGCTGAACCTTAGCACCCAAAGTGCCAGGCATACAAGCTTTCCCTGAGAGCCAGCTGCTCTGAGCAAACCTGGGTCTGCAAAACCATGTGTACAGGGAGCATCCCCGTCACAGCAATCCCCTGGTCCCACCAGCAACACTGCAAAGCTGGCTGGCACCCACGCCGGGCTTTCATGGGTACCCCGTGGGCCAGCAGTCCTGAGTCCTGCTGCAGGCAGCAACCAGAGTCAGCGCCCCTAGTAAGGAAAGCGGCTGCGGTCTCTTGTCCAAGGTGTTACCTTAGTTTCCAGTCTGTTTAAGGCACATCTGTACTGTGCCACCGTAATCACTCATGGAGGAGATGGGGCAGCTGAGAGCAGCCAGGAGCGTGCTGAGAAGTGGCTATGGCCCGTTTTTCCCAGCCAGGCTCCTCCATAGCCCACCACCGCACAGAGCCGCTCTTAGGGGGCACAAAACATTGCTGGCCCATTGTGTCAACCCATCCTCCATCTCCTAGGTGGGAGGCACGCTCTCGGGGAGCGCGTATCAGGGAACAGCTTGCAGAAGTAGGGTCCGGTCTGGCCTGGGATGTGCTAGCAAACGGGGCAGGGCCGAGAGAGACAGGATGGTGGTGGGGGTGAGAGCCACGCCTGCCTCACGACCCCCCTCTTGTGTCTGCGGTTTTCCCCCTTCACAGCAAATAGCCATTGCTCGGGAGGGCGACTTGCTGACCAAGGAGCGGCTGTGCTGCGGGCTGTCCATGTTCGAGGTGATCCTGACGCGCATCCGGAGCTACCTGCAGGACCCGATCTGGCGCGGGCCCCCGCCGACCAACGGGGTGATGCACGTGGATGAGTGCGTGGAGTTTCACCGCCTCTGGAGCGCCATGCAGTTCGTCTACTGCATCCCCGTGGGCACCAACGAGTTCACGGCAGAGTGAGTGCGCCCGGCCTGGCTGGGTCTGGGAGGGATGCTCAGCCACAGGGCTCGCGGCAATGTGTCGGGACCCGCAGGGGGCTGATGGGACGTGTAGCCGGTCACAGCAAAGGGTGGGTCCCGGACAGGCCCGTCTGTTCCAGAGATCAGCCTCATTTGTATCACGGTAGGGTCTGAGCGCTGCGTACAAACACAGCCCGGCCTTGCCGCCAAGAGCTTTCAGTCCAAACGGGCTGATATGAGGGGAGATGGGAATGGAGAAGAAGTGATGTGCCCAAGGTCAACGCAGGAGGGCATTGGCAGAGACATGCCAGCACCTCTCCTCTCCTTGATCCCAACCCACCCGGCCTCATCTGAGCACTGAGACGACAGGACTCCCGCGCTCCGGCTGCTCCATCCTTTTTCTGCTCCCATGCATGGCCCTCCGTAGCCGCGTGAAAAAGAGCCAAGAGGCCAGGGCGGGGGGCTGGTATCTTCCCCGACGTCTCCTGTTCTGTCTCTCTCAGGCAGTGCTTTGGAGACGGTCTGAATTGGGCGGGCTGCTCCATCATCGTGCTCCTCGGACAGCAGCGACGCTTCGACCTCTTCGACTTCTGCTACCACCTGCTGAAAGTGCAGAGGCAGGACGGCAAGGACGAAATCATAAAGAACGTGGTAAGTCCGGGGACAACAGCAGACACCCCCCTGCTCCTGCTTTTGCATCTCAGCAAGAGTTTGCCCTCGTGCCCTTGGGGATGACCAAGCCCACGAGTCCAACTGGACACGTTAATGCAGCGCGTTGGGTTACCCCAGCTATCAAAATATTTAGACCAGCGATTCTCGACCAGGGGTATATTTGGGTACTGCCAGGTCCCTTGAAGGATGCTCCGTATGAAGGAGATAAGCAGATAAGGTCAAGCTCCAGGTGTGAGGACACAAGCAGGTAAGGGCGGGCTCAGTTTCTCCCTGCCTGGCTCCCTGCCTGCACTGCAAGGAGGCGAGCACCGCAATGCATGAAGCAGTTTTCAAAATAGGGCATTCCTCCATTCACAAACGTCATCGGGTCTGACAAGGCTGAGGACCGCCGACGTTGACTGTGCTCGATCCACCCACTGAGATCCCTGCCTGTCCTCTCGCAAGAGGGGCCCGGGGTTTGGGGAGACCAGGGAGTGAACATCTCGTACAGCTAGACCCGTCAGCTCGGGCTCGGAGAGCTTTTCCAGGAGCCGTGCTGTCACTGCATGGGCTGATCATCCAAATAGAGGAGGGAAATTAGGTCAGGTTTGGGGTCCGTTAACTATCACAAGCCACCCCGATCAGTGCCCCATCATGAGTCATTAGCAGGCATAATGAGGTACGTCACCAGCTCTGAGAAGTAGAAATGCAAGAGGAGTTTTCAGCAGGAGGTTGGCAGTGCTGATGCTTTCTAGCTGATGGTGGGGGATAGCACCAGCCCCTTACCTGCTATTTCCTTCCCCCCCTACAGCCCCTAAAGAAGATGGCTGACCGCATCAGGAAGTACCAGATCCTGAACAATGAGATTTTTGCCATCCTGAACAAGTACATGAAGTCAGTGGAAACAGACAGCTCCACCGTCGAGCACGTGCGTTGCTTCCAGCCCCCCATCCACCAGTCCCTGGCCACCACCTGCTAAGCGGCAAGTGCGAGCACGGACACGAAACCCTTTGGGTTGGGAGGTGACAAGAAGCTGGACTTAGCGGAGTGGATTTGGCAACGCAACTAGACTGGACGTACCCAAGACACACAAGGACGCATCATCCTGCCTGGCCCTGTCTGAGTGCATGTTCTTCTGTGACATCCCTGTGATTGGTTTTACTTGTAGCTTAAAAGAGGGGATGCGGGGGAGGGAGGTTTAGGGCAAAATGTGCTTTTTTTTCCATGAAGTGTCAGTGTTTTCCAGAACACAAAACCTCGGGGGCCGTAGGAAAGTCCCGGGCACGGGGTGGCAGTCGGAGGAGCCGCGTGTTCTCAGCACGCTGGAAGTCCTCCCCCAAAGTGGACAGCGAGGGGCCACACAGAGCTCCCGTCATCTTGCGAGAGGGGGGCCACATGTCAGGACAATTTGGAGAGAGGCGTAAAAGGCAGCATAGCAAGTTGTCTGGCCAAAGAAAGGTTGATGTTGAGCTGGATTGCAAGCTCCCTGTCCACCTAGGGCTGGAGATATACCCCCACTCGTTGTGATACAGCCCAGGCCCTCCTAGATTCGGTCTCTTTGTTAAGGGGATTTTATGACAGGTGTGTTCCAAAATAGCAAAGATAGGAAGGCTGAATGGTGCTTTTCAGTGTTAGCTGGAAGACAAAATCATGACGTGGTGCTTTTCTATTGTGTTTCATCCTCCTACAGCTAATTGCAAAGAGTGAGCCATGATTGCTCTTAATGAGTCAGTGCTATGCCGTGCTGATCTGGGTATGCTACTGCATACTGAAAAATCAGTGATCCCAAGAGCAACCACAGCTGTCTCCAGAATGTCCCAAAGCTTCAGGTTTTTTTAGCCCAGTCTCCAAAATCCTCATTCTGGAATGAGCTGAAATCTGCAGCTCACGTACGTTCCTGAGTGCCGTTTCTCTGTTCGCGGTGAGCTCGCCGTGGCACATCTGCCGACAGACGGGCCCACGGGGGATGGAGAATGGCAGCAGAGTTCATGCAGACCCTTGCGCACAGGGGAGAGATGGTCTTTTAGCAAGAGAAGCAGCAAACAAAGGTAGTGCTCAGAGGCTTTGGCTTGGGAAATACAGATTCTGTTTCCTTCCCTCTCCCTGGTGTCCAAGATTTTCCAAAGTAGAAAAGTTAGTAGCAGCTTCAAGGAGAATTTCACCCTTTTCCACCCTACCCTGTGTCAGCATGACCGCAGCGATGTGCAGGGTGAGCCAAGAGCTCGCCTCTACTTGCGTCTTCCTGCAACGCCCCCCTTGTACGTCGCTGAAGCGTCCCCAGCATTACATAGAGATTCAGAGGTGATGGGAGACCGTGCACGTGTAGGGTTGCCAATTCTGAATCTATCCCGGGGGGTTTCATCACATGACGTAATGACATTAATGACTGAGCTATTTGCGTAGATCGGTTATGGATCACGGTGCGTGGGAGGAGAATGCACATGGCTATTACATTTAAAAAACCCACTGTATACATCAGATTCAACATTTAATATTTATTTTAATGAATGCCTTCTCTTCCTTCTGGACAAATGTCATGTCATAAGTATGCTGTCATTTATTTCCTGGGTGACTCTCAGCAGTCTCCTGGGGATTTATATCTAATTCCTGGAGACTCCAGGGAAAGCCTGGAGGGTTGGCAACCCATTCCACATGCCTCTCTGTTAAACCACCTCAGTCTCATGCCCCAGCCCTGAGAAAGGTTTCATTTTTTCTTGCCAGTAGTCAGGTCAAGTAAGACCCATGCTGGGAGGTAACAGAGATGTGTTAATAGACCTGCATCGCAACCTGACCCATGCTTTCAGACAGCACAATCCAGTGCTGTCACAGGGAGTTAGGGAGCTAGAGACAGGGAGAATACATAACCATAGAAAGAGGTTAGCAGAACGTGGAATCGGGCACGTTTGTGCTATGAAATAACGGGGCTACGATCCTACTGAGATCCTAAATTGGGTTTTTGGTGACCTCAATAGTTGGAGGTTTGTGATTCTGCTGAATGACAAGCACTGGCCCAATTTTGGCAGTCAGATCAGTCTCTGGGCACAACGCAAGGAAATACCCAACTGTGTTTGTCATGTCACAAAGTGTTGGGGCTGTGCTGGAAAATACCAGGAGTAAGAAAGTCATGCTTAAGAATGAGATATACCCCATGACCCTGTGTCAGCCACCTAGACACTACTGGATGTACTGCACTAGTAGGTAAATGCCAGTTCAAAAGTTTAGGCTTTTGAAGGAGTCATGATACATTCACATATGCATACATGTTGCCTTGAAGTGTAATATTCTTTGATGTAATCTGGGGGCGTGAAGTCCTGTGAGGTCTATCAGCACAACTGGATGAACTGAAATGCAATGCCTAAAACAGAGATTTGCTGATATGGGGTGGTGAGCGTGACGGTAGAAAGCACCCTCCAGGCTTGTACAAGGGTCAACATTTTTTAGCAGGAAACCCAAATCATGTGTGCCAAGTGAGGAGTGGGGTTGTTGGGATGGTTGTGCGCATTTGCTGCGGGGGATATGCAGATGTGTTGGTCAAATGGTTCAGGAAGTTGGTTTCCGAGATCAGTGACGCTACCTTGTTCATACAACTTGACTTTCACCCCAAGGACAGTAGTACAGCTCGGCTTCGGTGCTCAAGCCCCCCTTGACTGAACATGAAGGAGGACACAGACCACTCGGTGAAGTGGTCAGCCTCTTCCCTTTTGGCTTATTTATTTGAATCTAATCATTTTCAGTGGAAAAAAGGTGCATGCTGGTAGCCGTCATAGTAGCTCATCATGGGAACAGGTTGTGACGGGACGTGGGAAATTCTCCGTTGGGAGTCCTTCAATGAAGGCCAGAGGTCTTCTTGAGGGAAATCATGTAGTTCAAGCACAAGCTGTTGTTGAACCTGGTGCAGGACTCCTGGGGTGAAATGTTCAGGTCCGGGTCACGTAGGAGGTCAGACAAAATGATTGTTACAGCCCTTTCTGGCCTTAAAATGTGTGACTCTTAGTATTTGCAATGCACAGACCTGTCCCGTGGTCTTCAGCAGCCCCATAGAAAGGGGAATCGAACCAATTCAGATCCTGCATGCAGTGGTGTGTTTTTTCCCCTGACAACACATGCTAGGAGCATTGAACAACACACTAGTCCTTATTTCCCCCTGTATGAATCCAGTTCAATGGGCTTAGGTGTGCTGGCAACCCGGAGCAGAACTTTGTTTTTAAAAAATTTAAAAGAAAATGTTGAGAAAAAAATAATTATCTTGTCAAATGTATCATATTTGTATGAAGAGCTGCTTGGGGGTTTTTGTACAATGAATTTACATTTATTTATGGTGAGGTATATTTATGCTCGTGGTCAAACCTGGTGTTAAATTTTGTAATCATATTTGCTATGCAGCTTAAGATGATCTTTTGGTTTTGTATTTTTTTTTTTGGTGATTGTTCCGACTTTGGGTTAACAGAAGCTTCCATCTCCGTTCAGGCGCTTCTGTAATGATCAAGCATCTGGTACGTGGTGATATGTCCTGTAATACAGCAACCACCAGTGTGCACAAGCAAATGTGGGATGAATTCTGTGATGATGAAAAATAAAAAGCTGGGCTCACTGAGGAAGTGGGCAGATCTTTCCTCGTGTCATAATGGAAACGCTTGTTTTGAAATGAAATGAATGAAAACGATTGTAATGAAAACGTCCTAATACCAACGCTTCTGGGGCGCTGTCTTTCTCAGCCAAGGCAAGGGCCAGTGAGGAAGCAGCAATGGGAAAGTTGGACAGCAGCTTCAGACTTCTTTCTTTCTTTCTTTCTATATAAGAACCAACACATTTTTACCAAAAAGGGACACAAAACTGTCTCAGATCTCCACCAAAAAGTCAACAACTTTCAAATATGGGGATGAGGGGAGGGATACGCTATTAATGGTGTGCAGAGGAGACGTAGGAGGAATCTGTCAGACCAAGAAAAGCAGCTCCATCACTTTTCCCAGCTCTCTTGAAGCCACCGGGCGCATGACGCCTCTTGCAGGCTCCGTGTTTAATGCGCGTCCTTGCCCATGGGTTGCTCAATTGCACACTCATTTCAAAACTCCCAAGGGCAGCAGCAGGATGTCAGGGTGTTGCTCCTGACTCAGCCGCTGGCCCTGCAGCAGCCTTTCAGGCCTGAGGTTAAATTGAAAAGTTTGCCAATTTTTAGCTACCTCTTGAGAGCTGGATGTGACGAAAACCCCGCAGTTCCCACCAGTTTTGTGCGAAGTGGCTGCTCTGAGAACTGGGACCTAGGTCTCCTCGGTTTGGGCAGCCAGAAAAAGGAGGGACTCGGTCAGGAACCGTTGTCACCAACGTGGGACCTAGTCTTTCTGCAGCTCAGCTTTCTTCTCTGGGGAGAATAACACTCATTATTCTCAGCGGCGGAGCTAAAACCACTATGCAAGTGCCAAGTCCCTTTCCCAATGGCCAGCGGTAAGCGTTATTCGGCTTAAATCTTCTCCCACACGTGCTTGGAAGTGCCACACGCTGCAGAAAACCTTGCTGCCGAACCAGGCCGACGGAGGCCAGCGGAGCGGCTCCAGCTTTCGGGGGCAGAAAAGGGATCGACCAACCAAGTGACCCCTGTAAGCGTATCTCGGTGCTGCTGCCCACTGTCCTGGCAACACCGCGCGGTTGCTCTGATACCTGGACCGACTGTCCCTGCGCAAACGTCATGAACTTGCCTTGAAAATCAGGAGATAGTTTAAAATAAAAAACCTGGCCTCATTGTACAGGGCAGTGCTGGAGCGGTGCTGACCTGAAGGAGAGTCAAAGTCTCTTGCAAGACTCTTTGCCAAGACTGCGACCATTAAATCGTCCCAAGCCATAGCTAGTTGGGACCTGCTGGATTAAGGCCTGTTTGCTCCCTGAAGTCCAGTTTTACCAGCTACTTAGTACCTTTCCTTTCAGGGGTATGTGAAGTCATCTGAAAATCAGAAAGGTCCCGTAACCCCCCTCAACCATCAGCTCCATCCCCATAGCAAAGGCTTTCTTCCATCTGTGAAGCAACCAGCTCTGTTTCTGCTTTCACCAAGCACCATACAAATATCCCATGTCCTGACAAAGGTTTCCAGAGGCACTTAAGCCTAGGAGACACCTGGCCATAAGGGGCTGTCCCACAGTACCTTTATTACTGCTTCTGGATAACGAGAACTCAAATTCTTCCTCTGTGTTTCTGGGCCAGGAGAGCTGAGCGGAGGGGAACAGGCTGAAAATCAGGTTTTCTCATGTTGCTGGGAACATTATTCACACGCAAAATTGTCATAATCTATCCACTGGATTCCTGAGCCTGGTTTGCAAACTGGTCTTTCGGGTGGAGCTGCATTGCTAAGAGATGAGTCCCTGGAGAAATCTCCTGGGCTTCAGAGCAGGGCTGGGGGAGGAGGCTGGGGTGTTTTGGGGATTTTTAAGGACTCAGATGACATGAGCTTTACCAAGTGAGATCATCACTTGGGGGGGGGTCCAGTTGGCTACAGGGATTTCCACTGAAAAGGGGGGAAGAGTCATTCAGAGCAATAGAAGAAGTCACCCCATGGCCTGCGCTTGAGCTTCGCTGTCCAGACTTGCTGAGTGACTAAGTGCCACGGCAGGGGCTTGGCTCTTTAGTCCCTATCGGCCCCTGCCACCCAGCCACAATAGCTGAATGCTGCTCTGCAGCTCCAGCAGCTTTTATACCTGCTTTGATCTGGTGTATGTGACTACAATCTCTAATAAGAGAGATCGGATTTACCCAAAGACCCTTGTCTGCCTCTGATGACACCAGGCACAAGCAGGGGAGACCCCAGCCCCCTGACAGCCCATGTATATGCATGCACACAGACACACGCACACACACACACATGCACACATGCCTACCGCACGTATATCTGGGTGCCAGTGAGAGGGAAAACACCAGGGCATCCTCCCTCCAGGCCTCTTACCCTCTGCTGCTGGCAGCCCCAGGTCTCTCCTACTTTTTAAGCACATATATACTTCATTTAGCCTGGAAATAGGCCCCTTTTCCAGGGAAAGTGCCATTACGATTCACTTTATTTTCCCATTAAAAATTCACATTCTGGAGCAATTTTGCCTCGGAAACATCCGGGCATTCTTGTTTCCTGTGTGATTTCGATATTTAAAAAGACACCTATTGCTGTTCGCACCGTACTTTGAGCAGCTGTCTTCAGCGGTTCTTTTAGCTAATCATATTATTAGACCCAAATTAAGCTGGGGTGAGATGGCACAAAAGGAAAGGCACGTTTGCCAGGCAAAAGTTGCACAAAAGCTGGGATTTCACACAGGTGGGAGGACACAACCGGGCAACCTTCACGTGGCCACGTCTGTGATTATTGAGTCTGTTCTGCTGTTTCCTTCAGGTTCCTTCTGTTTTATAGTTTCATAGTTGGTTGGGTCGGAAGGGACCTGAGCAGATCGTCTAGTCCGACCCCCTGCCATGGCAGGAACGAGCACTGGGGTCAAACGACCCCAGCAAGGTTTTCTCTTAAGGAGCTCTCTGGCCATCGACAGGCAGGACTGTGACTACTGAGCAGGTGAACAGGCTGCTCCAGGGGGACTTGAGTGTGTAGTTAATTTGGGCACTGGTTAAACAGGAGCTTTCTGGGTCTCCCTTGGGTTCAGTAGGCAATGGAGCCTACCGAGCCCAACATTGCAGAGGCCAGGCTCACGCTGCATTGGGAGTGGTCCTTCTCCCACGTTAGGGTGGGACGTTCATTCATCCAGCCACGCTTACATCAGGATCCAACAGGACCCAAGCCACGGGGGCCCTCGCTAGGCAAAGTTAGCGTGAGGTCATCCCAAACCTGGGGGACCTCGACTTCTGCTCAAGGGCCCGCCAAGGCCAAGAGCAGCTCAGCTGGGCACTTCTTTGCAACCAGCTAAGGAAATGCTCGGTCAACGAGAGAGGAGGCTGCTCCGTGCCTTTCAACAGCGGCCAGGAGCTTGCAGGTTGGGTGCGGAGAGAGCAGGAGGAAGTTTTGCCAGGTTGTTTGGGTTCATTATCACTTGTGGGATAAAGGTAAGGAGCATTTCATTCACCAGATGCAGCCTGTCTAAGCCGGTGACCTGCTGCCTGCAGCTGTGATGGGCAGCTCTGATTAAAGTACACCCGAGTACAAAAAACCTGGAGCTTCCCATTTGGAGGGGAAGAGCCCCAGGCCGCTGCGACCGAACGAATCCGGATGAGGCACTTCTGTTGGTTTTACATATTTATCTGTGCTGTCTTCCGAAGACAGCCGGCTCCTGGGCCCTGCTTTAGGAAAGGTTTGAATGACTGTAGTGGGTTTGTGTGCACACAGCTCCGCGCTTCTCCCATTCAGCTTCCCTTTGGCATCCTGATGCGAGAGAGATAGCAGGCAGGCCTGGGAAAGCAAAGGGCTCCCTGGTTTATTGGCAACATCAGTGATGTTACTTTATTAGAGACCTCTGTGCAAGTTGTGACCGATCAACACGATTTCTGCAATCTGCCTCGAGAAAGCATTGCTCCAGTTGCATGCAACGCTGACTCCAAACCAACTCGAGCAAGATACGGCCAGATCCGCCTCCACCCGAAACGAGCTGCAACAGTCGGACGGATGCTAACAGGGGCAGAGGTGCGCCCATCGGATGCCTTTATTGCTCCCCGCCCTTCCCGCCCCTAGCTCTGAATGCCATTTCACAATGCACCCGACATCTTCTAAACAGGCAACAGAGTTTCACCCCGTTGTGGTTTACGGGTCTGTCCTTATCAGACCCGTGAAGAAACTAATACACACAAGCCCCTCACCCCAGTTTTGGCTCCATGACCCATTCTGGAGTCAGATGAAGAAGTCGTCTACGCTAGAGACGGTTACTGCTCCAGCTCCGCCAGCATCTCTGTCCTGGCACACCTCCTCACGAAGACGCTATTTATACTAGTAACGGTGCATGGGTCGGTAGTTTTTACCACATCCGAGTGGGAAAGCACCTCTTTTGGCAAAAGCATTTTTTTTTGCAAGAGAATTGCTGCACCTACTCTCCAGCTTTGTGGTGACGCCAATGTTGTAAAAACCTGGCACCCCTTATCAACGCAACTAGGCCAGCAAAAATGTCACGCGCGGATCTAGCCTCAGTATCTCACCGTCACTTGTGTAAAGCAAGCGTGGATCCACCCCTCCTCTTGCCACACTGTGCTAATTTCTTCCAATATCCTCTCCCCATATTAGTTCCCAACTTTGTGGTTGAATCTCACTGGTAACCAGTGCTGAGAAAACTCTGGGATGCTATATATTGATATAGAGAGAGATGTATATGTATCAATATGTAGAGAGATCTATATGGATAGATAGATAGATCTGATTTAGTTACTCTATAAATTGCAAATCTACTTCAGACCACCATAGCTACCTCTCCGGCACTGGTCTAAAGCCCACAGATGTCAACAGAGAAACTTTCCCAACCCATGAATCCTCTTCTCCACGCACGCAAGCGACCCGCAGATCTCCTCCGGCTCTCGCAGGTGCACTGGCTGCATGGAGGCCGTCGCAGGGCGCTGAAGGGGACTCGTGTCATCCTGTGGACCCCTTGCAAAGGATGAGCCACGATGACTCCCCCGGGCTTTTCTGCTTTTGCGCCGCACTCATCACGGTGGCATCCCAACACCGCTGGGTATTCGCTGGGCGTGACGCCCTAGATTAGGCAGTCTTGTTTCTGCTCCCTGGCTGAGTAATGGACCCGGGCTGGGAGCAGGATGAGTGCCTGGGGCCCTGTAGTAGGGCTGGCTGCATTCCTGCAGGAGCACAGCTTCCTAGACCCCAATGCTGGAGGCTGCAGGGGGGAGAGGAGCGGGGGGGGGCAGGAGACTGGGCGAGGTGCAAAATAGATGTAAATAGTCGGGGAAAAGTTTGCCAACAACTGCCCCGAGGGCTTGAAGCGCTCAGCGGAGGCGCGGAATTATGAATGAAGCGGAGGGAGGGGGCGGGGCCGCGCGGCAGCTGGGTCCTAGCGCCGCCGGAGCACAGCTGCCGCGGGATGGAGCCGGCCGGGCTGGAGCGCAGCTGCGCAGACGGTGCGTGCGGTCGGGGGGGGGGGGGG